CTGCTCTTTCAGAAGACATGGGTTCAGTTCCCAACGCCCACATCAGGTTCACAGCAGGCTGTCACTGCCGCTACAGGGGATCCAAAGCCCTCTTCGGTCACCAGAGACACACATGGTGCAAATACATAAATACAAGCAGGCAAATCTTTCTATACATGAAATAAAAATCAAGGGAAAACATCACATTCAAGGACTGGGCCACAGGCACACAGTAGATGGATGCCATCACTGGACTCTCCCTCTTCCTGGGGATGAGAGTCTCACTTTCTAACTGTTCTCAGCTGAAAACCATACGTGTCTCTGCAAAGCACCATGACATCTCCCTGGTATATCTGTCCTCTCAGGATGCCATCACAAAGTGACACTGGGTAGGTGGTTTAAAGAGAAAGGACCTCTTCTCTCACTGTTCTGGAATCCAGCAACCACAATCAAAGTGTGGCAGATTGGCCCTGGGGGTGGGCACTCTCTTCCAGGTTGGCAGAGGGAGCCTGTACCCTGTTCTAGCCCAAGGTCTCTCTTGTGTGTCTGGAGAGAGGAGAGTCAGGGAAAGGGAGAAAGGGGAGGATGGGGGAGACAGAGAGGAGAGAATGGAGGGAGGGCGCTTCTTCTGGCTGCTGTGAGGACACTAACCCTCTGGGACAGGGACCTCACTCACAACCTCACTTGCTTCCTTCTCTATCTCCAAATACAGTTACCTGGGGATAGAGCTTTAACAAATGTGTTAAGGGACACAACTCAGTCCCTACCAAAAGTGACATCAGATTATACCTGAAGGGACAGATGCTCAGGAACAAATTTAAAACCTAGCTCCTGAAGCCATTCAGGGTCTCCAGCATGCTTCTCTAATCATATTCCTTTTCCTTCCAATCTAGAGAGGAAAGGCTTCATCATGTCTGTGGTTGAGTATCTCTGGGACACATGGAGCACAGTGGCCCTGCAGCTCCTGCCGACCATAGACGGATTCGGAAAACAACTTGTGGAAAGAGCTGGTCTGTCCAGTTTCTCGCCATTTAAGTTGATGTTGGCTGTCGGCTTGTTGTTGATTGTTTATATTATATTTAGGTATGTTCCTTGTATCCGTGATCTTTGTAAAGCCTTATCATGAAAGGGGGTGGATTTTGCCAAAGGCTTTGTTCAGCATCTAAGAAGATGATCATGTGGTTTTTTTCTTGGAGTCTGTTTATATTGTAGATTGCATTGACAGACTTTCTTACATGAAACATCAAGTAAGAGATGAATTTTTCTTGTTCATGATGAATGATTTTTTTTAAGTGTTCTACGATTGAGTTAGCCCATATTTTGTGAAGATTTTGCATCAGTGTTCTACATGAGACTCTTTCATTGTTCCATCGTTGTGTGGTTTGGGTTAAGGTAACAGTAGCCTGATAGAAAGAATTGTACCTAGCTTTTCTACGTGGACTCTGGAACACAGAACTCAGGTCCATGTGTTTTCCTGGCAAACGCTTTACAAAATTAGCCACATCCTAACGGGGCATTTAGATATTAAGGGAGAACTGTCTGCTGTCCTCAAGACACAGCACAGTCACGTGAGAGCTCACACGGGGTGACACACACCAAGAGAGATGCCTTGGCAGAGAAGCCGTATTCTGACACGAGTTAGCAGTCAGAAAGGAGCTGTTCAGGACTGCTGCCCTAAGGGGAAGAGACAGAACACTTCTGGATAGGCATTCAGCTGGGGACTCTGGCAGATAAGCTGAGTGAGGAGCAGTAGTGAGCAGGGAGCAGGGGCACTGTGAAGCTGACCTCATGGGATTCTTCCTGAGGGAGGTCAAGACTAAGACACCAGAAGTTAAACAAAGGAACTTGATTGAGTATTGAGTATCAAAAGTAGGGCAGTCTCACAGCTAACTTAAGATTCTTGACAAGTCTGGGCAGGGAACACCAGCCATTGCAGAAAATGCATGAAAAGTCAAGACCGAGCCACACTATAAAAGTAGTGTAGAATAGTTTAATAAAGTTGAACAAGGAAAAATATTTATCCACATAAGCCTCAGTGTCCAGAAATTTGGTGGCCCTTGATCACATACAGAGTCCCCGCAAGAGATCCAGGGTTTCCATCCCTCTTGGAACACAGGCCTTTTGTGTCTAGATCCCCTGGAGGTCAGAAATGACAGCAAAATCCCACGACACATCACCCTTCTCAGGCTGGGAATTCTAGGGAGAGCTAGGGAACCTACATGTTGTGTTTTCTCGGTTCTGCCTGCCGTGGAAACACTTGCAGAGGCACAGTGAGGGGACTTAGGGATGGGACCCACATGGAAATGGGGATCCACTCATCTTTCTTTAACTTCTGATCACAGTTGGTTTTTTTTTCTAACCTCACTTCTCTGTGTTTTAGAGTTCCTACAGAGAATTATGTTGGTAGTGATGACATTGGCCTTCAGGGGAGGCCATATTTATTAAATGTCTCGCAATAAAAATGTGTGGTAAGTGACTAGAGATGACTCAGGAGTTAAGAGCCCTGGGTGCCCCTCCAGGAGGCTGACATCCAGTTCTCAGCATCCTCATGATGGCTCACAACATGTCTGTAACTCTGGGTCTAGTGATCCAGTTTCTTCTTCTGCCCTCCATGACACCAGGACTGCACGTGGTACACACACACACCTGCAGGCAAAACAGTCAAACAAATAAAATAAAAAATTTAAAGGACAGAGTAATATGGTTTTTAACTCGTCGTGTCCTTAACAATTAAACATTGTGTGGTGGATCCAACCTGCCCATCAATGCAAGAACAACATTGTACAGCTGTAAGACTCTCCTCCATTTCACTCCCGCAGATGCTCTGATTGCCACAGGACAGATCTTTCCAAACTCTCTTCCTCACTCTGTTAGTTGGTCTCTCCCTTTACAGGAAACTGAAAGATGCCTCACCTGAGAAGAAAAGGTTTCTGGAAGTTTATCCTCAGATGAAACGGGAGCTTGAGGAGAGCATCAGGAAGCTCCACGCCCTTGCAGACAAGATTGACAAGGTGCACAGGGACTGCACCATCACACAAGTGGTGGCCAGCTCCACCGGTGCTGCGTCTGGAGTCATGACAATTCTTGGTCTCGCTCTGGCACCTGTGACAGCCGGGGTCAGTCTGGGACTTTCAGCCACAGGCTTGGGGCTTGGGGCAGCAGCAGCTGTGACGAGTGTTTCCACAACCATTGTGGAAGCCGTAAGCACAGCATCGGTGGAAGCTGAAGCCAGCGAGCTTCTGCCAAGGAGCAACGACACTGAGAACAACATTAAAAGCACCGACACTAAGAAGGACATTAAAGAAGTTTTGGAGAATAACACCCCCAAGCTGTTTTCTGTATTTATGAATTCCTCCCGGAACCTGGAAGGCATGAGGAAGAACATTGATGCCATCAAGCTGACCAAAGCCAGCCCTCGCCTGACAAATACTGCCAAGCGTCTAATGACAACGGGAAAGGTGTCAGCCCGAAGCACTAGACAGGTGGAGAAAGCCTTTGGAGGCACTGCTCTGGCAATGACCAAAGGAGCCCGGATCATGGGTGCAGCCACTGCAGGTCTCACCCTTGTGCTAGATGTGGTCAGCCTCATAGAAGACTCAAAACATTTGCATGAGGGTGCAAAGGCAGAGTCTGCTGAAAAGCTGCGGCAGAAGGCTCAGGAACTGGAGCAGAAGTTGGAGGAGCTCATCCGGGTGCATGACATCCTGACTCAATGACCTCTTCTTCAGTGCAGCTCAGAGGACTGGGGGTGGTGTGTGCTGGACAGAGCCATGGACACTTGATGGCTTCTGAATGTATCCTCTTTATACCAATGCCATAACAGTGGTAGTGCCTGCTAGAGGAGAGGCCACATTAAGAGAAAGGAAGCCAGAACAGAGGTGGGACAGGCTTGTGATCTCCCACTACACTTCACCGCCCTTTTAGATCCAACAACTTCCAACATCCCACATAAGGACCACGCTCCCAAGCTGGGAAGAACATCCAAGGCCTGACTAAGCCACAGCATGGCTGCTCCCCAGTCATACCCACCACACTGCTCCTAACAGAGGCTCACCATCCTCACAGGTCCCTGAGCTGCCAACTTTCCCACTGCTTTCTGATTGCTTGCATAGAGACTTCTCCTCCTTCCTAGTTCTGCCTCATTCTGTGTATTTCCAATTATTTCCCAATCTTAAATCAGACTTTGGATGTGTACCCCATTTCTTTCTTCATGGTTTGGTCATGTGGAGTAATGGAGATTTTGGTGAAATACTTGGAGAATAGAAAGGAAGGGAGGCTGGGGACATCATCTGCAGGGTCATCACAGGTCCTTGGTCCTATGTGCCAGCCGTGGGCTCTACTGCCAAGCGTCTACAGGAAGGAGGGGTGACAGGATGTGGTGGTGAGTTCTGCTCTCTGTAAGCAGACTCTTGGGGAAATCTCAAGGCTTAATTCCTACTGAAGTTTAACACCTGCTCTATTTGGATGAGATCTGCTGAGATGCACACGAAGGCTACACTTGCTCCATTATATGTGAAGAATTAATTAGTAAACACTGTAAACACCGGCCTGGTCATGCTTTCTGTTGTGTGAAAATAATATCATGGGGGGTTTTTTTTTTTTTTTTGATTTTTGAGACAGGGTTTCTCCTTAGCTTTTTTGGTTCCTGTCCTGGAACTACCTCTTGTAGACCAGGCTGGCCTTGAACTCACAGAGATCCGCCTGCCTCTGCCTCCCAAGTGCTGGGATTAAAGGCATGCGCCACCACCGCCCGGCCTGTTTTCCTTCTTGATCTCACCCTCCCCTTCTGGCCACAGAAGCACCCTAAGGCTGCAGCAGTGAGCGGTGTCCCCTCGTTCCTTACCACTCAAGTGGCCTTCTTTCCCAAGTTCTGAACACTTGAGACAGAGAGCTGACTTGTGTACTTCCTGGGTCTTGTCTTTTAGATGATCATTCTTGGGTCACACAGCCCCTTCTGTCCCTCCTTGGAAGGGATGTCTGGCCAAGGGACAGCTGGATGTGGACAAAGCCATGGCCCTGGGGGCTCAGAGCAGTAAGAGAACTGAGTACTGGACAAACATGGGAAAGAAATCAATCTGCATCATGAGCCGCCTAGCAACTTGCTCCTCAGTGTCCAAGTTCATGGAGTCCTCTCTACTGTTGAGCCCATGTGCCCGTGTTATAGTGAACACTGTAACAGGGCTCGGATTCTGTCCCTGAACAAACTCAGGAGCCATCCCCAGAGCTCACCACATCCTTGACCTTGAACCCTGCACTCTCTCCTGACTCCGTCAGTGTGGCCCTTAGGACACAGATGACTTGAAGAGCCTGTGCCTTTGTCCCTGCACTCTTCCAGGCTCACAGGCCTCTCAAAACAACTGCACCATAGCCCTTTCAATGAATGATCACTTAGGTGTTCAGTGCCCAGAGAGCTCCCTGCAGCTTCCAGTCCAGGGCCACCTCACCTCCATGGTTCTGCCCACCAGGAACACACCTTCCTTTATGACAGAGACAAACAAGCATGGTGGGTGTCGGTGAGAATTGACACAGCCCATGGTCACTTCTCATAGATACAGCATTACCTCATGGGTGGTGAAAGTATTCTAGTAGGTAGAAGGATACTTTCAAGATAGAGATACATTTAAAAAGAAGTTAAAATGAATTTCTATGATGTAACAATGTATCTCAGGTGTTAGAAGTGCTCTTAACAAAAGAAAAGGCTATGGGAAGAGACCAGTGAGGCTCACAGATAAAGAGGCCCCAGAAAGGGACAGGAGAGATGGACACGGTGAAGGAAGGACAGCACAGAGGAGGAGCTGTGACCAGGTCTGTCCTGCCCAACACAAGTGACAGGCAACAGGACTGTGCCTGCAGCTGCTGCCCCTGGGGTCTGTGTTCAGTTCAGGCATCTGAGTGTGTCCTGTATGTCACCAACCCATGCTTTGCCCATCAGAAAGTGACCTCTGGATGGTGACAGTGGTGGTGTTAGTGTTGAGGGTGGTAGTGGTGGTGACAGCTGAGAGGGTGGAGCCCTTGGCAGGGGTCAGGGCACCTAAGGGACCAATGAAATTAAAATGGATCCGCATGTGCAGGGCTGGGACAGTGGTGAAGGTGAGAAAGAAACACGTGTTACACACTTATCACCTTTAATGGGCACCTGGTGCAGTCAACCTACTGTGCACACACGGAAGCTTAAGTAACAATTCCTCCTCAAGGGCTCTGGGATTATGAAGAATTAAAACTTCACTTCTAACGTACTTAGGATAAAGTGCTCACCTCAGACCTGTGTTCTTGTTGCTTCACCTGAAACCCAACTGTACCTTCACTCCCTCTGACTTTGAAACAGCTAACA